TTCCTTCCCTATCTTAATTTGATAATTAATCTTCATGTGCACCTGGTGGTTATCGAGCAGGCAGATGACTCACCGGAGGTGATAACTAAGAAAGAGGTTTCTATTTTGGCCTCTCCTGCATGTTCAAGTTATCAGAACTCAGGGAATCTGTATCCATTTCTGATCCATTTAGAATGTACACTTCGGAATCTAATGTAGTTTTGAAGGATCTTGAGGCCTTGTTGAATATGCATTGTCCCAAATTTGTTATTCTTAGGAAACTCTTGTAAAATCTGTTCAGTGAAATCCATGCTTGCCTCCTGCACTGTTTAAATGATGAGAATTATTTTGAGCAGGGAACGTTTGGCTGGTTGGAAATAAAGCTCTTTTGCCTGCTTTAGCTTCAAATTTATAGAATTGCTTTTGCTCAAGTTGGGGAAAGGATTGCTTGATGCTTTCCATAGATTACTTGTAACACTATTGAATAAAATTCACCGTCCAGTTCAGAGGTAAACCCTGCTGAGAAAAGCTGAGCTTTAACTTCCAGGAAATGATTAGGATGGGTAGGAGGTGTTCATTTGATCGAGCAGAATAATTAATTAAAAAATTAACTAGCACGAGCAGAATAATCGATAAAATTAATTAAAAAGTTAACTAGAAAATCTAATTTTTTTTTTTGGTTAGATATTGATGGGTTTCAAATGATAAAAACTCAAAAAGTTACACCAAACTAAACCGATAAAAAACTTAGTATATATAATAAATTGAGGTATAAATACTAACCCTAAATATATGTCCTCTCTCATTTTTTTATTCTTTTATTAAACGTGTTTAAGATATAATTATAACTTAACAGTTATGAGACATAAACTTTTTTTTTCATTCTTTTGCTAAATGTGTTTGAGATATAATTATAACTTAACAATTACAAGACATAAACAAACCTAAAAGAAAAAAGGTTCATAATTTGGGTTAGATCCTAAGGGTGGAGGGGAGGTGTATGGGAAGCATGTGAAGGACTCTCAACATCATAATACCCTGGCTAGTCATGAGGGCTGTACTTTGTAGGTCATGGGAATTACTTTGAAGCTGTATAATTATCTCATCTTTTTCAACCAACTTTTCATATAGATTTGGCGAGAAAGGCTTATAAATCCATTAGGATACGTTGAGTCATACGAGGAGGATGCATAAGATGTGCCCAGAGGATAACTAGCTAGATAGGTTCTCTAAACGAGGTTGCTTGTAAAAAAAAATTGTTCTTCTAAAAGGAATAATGATCCTAAAAGGGGTTACAAGAAACCAATGAGGAAATGCTTAAGCTATTCCAAAATGCATATCTCTCCTTTAAACACCACCTTCATCGAAATCCTTGCAATCATCCAAGGTAAGGAGTTCATTTGATATCCTTCACCTTGAAGCCTTCTCCCAACACCCTCACATCAAAGAAATATTGTATTTTTCATAAAGAAAAAAGATATGACACCAAAGATTGTTATGTCTTGAAAAAAAAATTAAAATGTTGATAGTTAATGGTTATCTTTATTAGTTTCTAAAGAAGAATTCTTACCCAAAACAAAATAGAGAAGAGCCTGGTTAATGTGTAATAACTCTTCTCGAGATCAATATGAATTTAAGGGTAGGTAAGAGGTGACTTTAACAATAGAAAGAGAAAGCATGCAAAGTAAGTCCTCATAGCTGCTAAACTGTTGGATTAATGGCACAAGCCAATACTCTTGAAGATGGGGAATATACGACTTTTCCATATAAAAATGCCCTTGTCATGACTACTATTATCTCTAATCACAAAGTACATCGGGTGTTAGTAGATGATAACAGAGCAGTGAAAATCCTCTTTATAGAAGCATGTCCCAAATTAGAATCCCTTATTTAAAACTGATACTAGTGAAGAGTCCTCTCAATGAGATAAAGGGTTCAAGTATTCTAGTGAAAGGAGTTTTGAAACTACTTGTTATGATTGTTATTCCCTTGAGATGTACCTCATACCAACAATGTTTCATTATGAATTATTTAACGTTGGCTTATAATGTCATCTTAGGAAGATCTTTACTACACCTAATCAATGTTGTAATCAATACTACATACTTGACATTAAAGTTCCTAACTCAATATAGAGTTGCCATGTTGTGGGGGGGGGGGGGGGGATTAGGTAGCCTCAAAGAAATGTGCCATTAGTTGCTTGAAAGGTAGGAAAGTGCTAATATTAGACCATTAAGGGTTTTTGAAGAAAATAATAAAAGTCAAAACTAAGGCTTTTGAGGAATTAAAAGATATATTTCAAGGGGGGTGATGAATAGGCCATCATAAAAATAGAATACACCTTGACATTGACACAATAATAATAATTGACAAAGCTCTTATAAGTTTAGAAGTTGAATTTTACAACAAATGCATCAAGCACGACAAGCATCAATCTTAAAATAGCTACTCACCAGTTAAAAGAAGAACTGGTTGCCTTCCAGTTCATCAAATAAAAAGAACTTTGGAAGGAAAAGACTGAAAGCTATAACTAAAAAAAAAAAAAGACTTTAGGCCATTGGTTTCATTAAGGGAGTGTTATACCCTGTCTAGTTGTCAAATATGGTTATGGTTAAGACGAATAATGGCAAGTGATAAATATGTGTAGATTTCATTGATTTGAACAAAGCTTGTCTAAAATATAGTTACTTGTTCCTAAAAATTGATTGTTGGTAGATGCCACTTTAGGTCTCAAATTCTTGAGCTCCTTAGATGTCAACTCAGGTTATCATCAAATCCTCATGTACTCTAAAGATGAAGAGAAAAAGACTTTCATGGGTATAGAAAGTACTTATTGCTACAGAGTAATGCCATTCGTGTTGAAAAATGCAAGGGCAACATATCAATAAATGGTTAATCAAATATTTAAGTATTAGTTAAGAAAAATTATGAAGGTACATGTTGATGACATGTTACTAATAAGCATGACTTTTGAACAACATCTTCTGGACTTTAAAGGATTTTTCTTCATCTTGAGTCCATACCAGATGAAAGTCAACCCTTCCAAATGTGTTTTCGCTATAAATAAAGGGAAATTTTTGGGTTTTCTGGTAAGCTCTGAGGAAATTGAGCTAAATTAAAAAAATAAATAAATTAAATCATAGTATACATGATGCCCCTATACAGTGTGAAGGAAGTACAACGCCTCACAAGAGGATTGACTAGCCTTAACAAATCCATTACTCACCTAGGGAATGCACTTTACCCTTTTTCAAGATATTGGATGTGTATAGTGTCGCGACGACCATCCTTTCAAAGTAAGATCTTTATGGTGATAGGTGGAAAGAATAATGAATATTTGTTTCTTATAAAACAAAAGGGATTGGAGTCGTCATTTAGCATTTTGGTCATTAGGAACCCTAAGTGATCTTAAAGTCTAGATATGGAAACTGATTATGCATACAAAGGACATATCACCCCTAGTATACCTTACCTAAGGTAAGCGATATTGTTTATTTGTCTGATATAAACTAATATATTGTTGTGTTTTCTAATCATTGAGTTATTTAATATTTAAAACTGGTCTACCTCTATAGAGTAGACCATAGGTTTAGGGGTCAAGCTTAACCATTTTAGAGTCAAAACATAAAAATAAAAGAAATTGTCATTTTATTCAATATTAAGAATACATTTTATGTATAAGTTCATAATCTTATATATTAAAAAAAACAAAATATTTTTTTGGTGTTTGAAATATAGGCTAGGATCTTATGACTGTAATAAACTAGTTATTATGCTTCTAAGACATTTAAACCATATTTCCAAGACACTAGATCATTGTACGCTCACAACAACCATTGAGGCAGATCTTTCACATACTAGAAATCTCTATATGATTGGTAAAATAGGAGAATTTAAACTTCAATACAAACCTTGACCATCCGTAAAGGGTCAAACCTTAACATACTTTATTTTTAAGTACATACTTGCCCTTGCCCATCCGTAAAGGGTCAAACCTTAACATACTTTATTTTTAAGTACATACTTGAGAATTCAAGGGATATATTTGAACCACAATCTTCAATTGAAATTTTTATTGTACTGAGTGCACTAATAAAGCAAACATAACAATCCCCTTCTTAGAACTTATATGTTGATGGATCCTCTAATATCAATAAAAATGGTGTTGGAATATTGTTGATCAATTTAAAAGAGCAAGTCTTTGAATACAACATTCAATTTGAATTCCTAGCTACAAATAATGTGTTAGAATATGAAGTTTTTTTAGCTGGTTTGCATTTGGCACAAACCCTGAATGCAAATCTATCTAGTGGTGGTTCAATATCAAGGTATATATGAAGTCAAAAAACATACGATGCAATTATATCAATAAATTTTTTTACCTCACTTGAAGAATGAAAAAATAAAAATTTCAATCATTCGTATTCGAAAAGACAACAATCAATGGGCAAACCTCTCATCAAAGTTAGACAATTTTAAGCCCTATAAAACTCCTGATGGATGTATAGGTTGAAATTATAGAAAAAACAAGTATGAGAACAAAATAAATCATTTCCATATTAATAAGCCAATAAGAGGATTAGAGAACCCTAATTAAGAATTATTTACTTAATGGAGAGATACCTTAAAATAGGAATGAAGCAACTCATTTGACTGGAAGAGTAACAACATATTGTATTCTTAATAATATTATGTATCGAAGATTTGTTTCAACTCCGTTACTTAGATGTTTATCTCTTAAATAAAACATTTATATGCTAAAAAAATACATGAGAGCATATACAAACTTTATATAGGCTCTAGAGTTTTAGCTGATTAAAGAATGAGAGTGAGTTTCTACTAGCCACCTATACTTTGTGATCTGATGAATTTAGTGAAAAAGTGTGATCAATGTTAAAGATTTGCTTTAATCTCCTAATAACTATATGTTGAAATAACTGTCAAAACATCACTATGGTTTTTTGCTT